TATCATATTAGGTAGGAGTTTGTCATATCTGGAAATACCCTTGACATCTATCATCTCTTAAAACATCTTCTAATAGAGACCTTCATTCAGTTTTTAAAAGTGAAAAATAATGTAGGCTAATAAAAATTCACGTTTACCTAAATCAGATTTATCATCTTTACACTCATTTTCTTTCCATGAAAAGAAAACTGATTTTTCAGTATTTTCCTCCATCATCTTTTATTATCAACAAACACTGTAACTTACCCAAACAAGATATAACATTTATAAGGCTCAAAACAATAMTGTTTCCAAAGTAGCAAAAGAAACAGAATAATAGAGCTTTACTTAATTATTTTGCTTGCTATGCATCCTGAAGACAAGAATCCAGCTACATAACACAGCTTCAGTTTCACATCTGAAAAAAAGGTGTCCAAAGCAAATTAAGATCATAGAATCATAGAATGAATCATAGAATGCCGAAGGTTGGAAGGGACCTCAGAGGTCATYGAGTCCAACCCCCCTGCTCACGCAGGGTCACCTAGAGCACGTGGCACAGGGCTGCATCCAAGCGGGTTTTAAAGATCTCCAAAGAAGGAGACTCCACAACCTCTCTGGGCAGCCTGTTCCAGTGCTTTGTCACCCTCACAGTGAAGAAATGCTTCCTTAAGTTCCTGTGGAACTTCCGATGCTTCAGTTTGAAGCCATTTTCCTCTAGTCCTATCCCTGCCCACCACTGAAAAGAGGCCGCCCCCCTCCTCCTCACTGCCTCCCTTGAGGTAAGATAGAGAAAGAGAATAGGTTGATTGAACAAAAGTTTTTTTTTTTTTTTTTTTAATGCTTCTGGGTATAATATGCTTTTAAATAGAAAAATTACAACAAAAAAAAATACTCCTGTGGTATATAATATAAATTGAAGTCTTGCAAATTAAAATATCTCCAGAAAACAATAACAAAAAAGAAGTCTGAAAGTTTTAAGTATGCAAGGTTGAAGCCACAGTTTCAACAAAGCTGGGTCAGTTTATCTGCTGATACTCATGTATTAATTTTAATGGAGTTTTGCATTATTTTATTTTATGCTTTTATGTGGAAATATAATTGTAGATGAATACCAATAACTTATCTCTACACATAAAATTCTCACAAAAAGCATTTGCATAAAACAGAAAATAAGTTTTTTTCTTTCATATATACCTGTCTTCCTCACTTCCTCCTGGCACAGAACATTTCTACTTGTCCAGCAAGCTATGCCCCATTCTATAAAAAGAGCAAGAAAGTGCTAGTATGATGATTGAAGCATTTTTATCTCCCCAGAATACATTTGTCATTGAGTGGTGTCCAAAGAAGATACTAACTAACTAAAAGTAGATATGCTAGCTAGGCATCAGTATGGCACTCACAGTGATAGGTTGGAGATCAACAACAAAAATAAATTATGGATGTAGGTATCTTTAAAAAGACACAAAGAAGAAAGAGGAAGGACAATACATGCTCTGAAAGGCAGAAAGGCATCTGAAAGGCAATTTCCAGGCAAGCAGAAATGCGTCACTGTGAAACACTTTCTGTGTAACCTGAGAGACACAGAAATGACATTCAGTTAATGGACAAGGTTTGCCTTCTTTTTACTTTTCCAGTTTAGGAAATAACAGCAGGAAGAAAAAGAACATTATTTTTGTGCAAGAGAGACTCTTCTTACACTAATTTGACTCCTGCAGAGACTACACTGTCATACCAGAAAGAAGTCTGAATCCACAGCTCACATAGACTCGCTGCTTCCAGTGAGATGTGCATTCTAACTGAAATGTTTTCCATATCTACAACATCTTAAACATGGTCCTCCAGTGTAGGAGGACCTACATGTCCAATAATAGGTGAGTTTATGTAAAAATATTTCCTGTGTGAGAAAGAAAGAAGTTATTCCCTTCATCTGGCCACCTATTTTAGATACAATTCCAGAAACTCCCAACTTTTGAAACCATTGCCCTGCAGTCTGATTAGACCAAAACTGCCCACTAGACCCAGAGTTCATGGGGAAGAAAAGCATGGGAAAAAAGAGACAAGTGGACAATTCGACGTATATACTTGTGGCAGCATAAGACTACTTGTGCATTGAATAGCAACTAATGAAAACAGAAAATAGGAGGTAATGGGAGTTCAACATGAGGTAACTGCCCTGATTTGGTTCCCGGCATCAAATTAGGAAGCCCTGTTGTTTTTCACACTTCTCCAGTCAACAAAATGTTGACTTCATCTCTGGACAGTAGGATGAACTGAATGGGAAAAAATGCAGAGCCTTTCTACTTTATCTAGCTCACAGCCACTTAAGGCTTCTTCCAAGGAGAGGCCAGAACTGGATTTAGATTTCCAAGAGTAGGAGGTTTGGTCCTCACTCATACCCTGAGCAGCTAGTCTATGCTGGTCTTTGTATGTATGTTCCTTATATAAAAGGAAGTATTGCTGTCATTCCCACTGTCTTTTCCTCTGCTGTCCACCATCAATTTTCTGAGGAGATTCATTAGTTAGCATGGATCAAGCACAGTCTACACCAATGCCTCCATGGTTCRGACTCTCAGAACATTTGGAGAAACTTTTCATTTCAAAATATTAATCGGGATTTAGTTAATTGATGCTCAACTTCAGATTTCAGCAAGCTACAGTACTTTTGGGCATGATTAGAAGCAAAATTTCTTGTATCTAGGAACTTGCATCTAGGAACTAGGAATTAAAACAGATCTGCCAATAGACAGCACCTAGGTAAGTATTTTCATAAACAGACCTGCAAATAGGATTGAATGCAACACCATAGACAAATGTCTAAATTATCTATTTGGACAAAATATCTGTCCAAAATATCACAGCCAATCTGACCTGAATATAATACTTCACTAATGAATTTTATTAACATTCTTTTAGTGTAATTTTGTGTGTAATTTCCTATTCTTTTGTGTTTGTCTTTTTTTTTTCCAAACACCCTTRTTAATTTTTCTGAGAATTCAAATGTCTACCCTATACAACTCTTGTTTTTTATTCCACTCTGTCATCTGCCAGAAATAGGTTTCCATTCTGTATGGACCAACTTGGATGAAAGAAYATGAATTTTGTCCGTGAATTTCAGATATATCAAATGGCAGCAGAAGCCTGTTGAGCCATCTTACTAGCTACTGCTCTGTTTTCAGCACCACTGTCTGATCCTACATTGGCCTAGAACAGCTCAAAGTAGCCTGAGGATGAAAAACTTGTGATAAGCTCAAATATATTCAGCAAAAATGTCCTCAGAAAAGCTGGTAAGAATGCAGAAAAAAAATCTTTACTGAATGTATCCAAAACTGCACATTTAGAAGCCTCTTTGTGGWGTATTTTCAAGGAGCTCAAGAAAAAATACATCCCTGAAGCTTTTGTATTTGTTTGTTTTTAATGTCAGTGGATAAAAATCACTCCATTATTTTACGATCAGAGAAAGACAATATTTTTCAAACCTCAGTCTTCTGATGGCAATAAAACATTCTCAATGAAACTTTCAAAGAAACTCCTTATGAGTCAGTCACCTACCATTTCAGATGAAAGGATAAGAAGTTTGATATACCTATAAATAACTGATGACAAGGAAACATGAGGCAATCTCAGTAAGCTCAAGAATACTAAGACTATCTGGAGAACACGACCTGAATTTCATAGGTTGCAGAGCATGCTTCCAAAACTACCATCCTGTGGGATCCCACGTATAGGGAGGGAGAAGATACACGGACAGAGGAAGGTAGAGGGGGTGATATCAGAGAAAGAAAAGCACACAGAGATAAACAACAGCGTTTTCTATCTATCTGCTTCTTCACCAGCCACTGTCATCAAGGCACACAATCTCATGACAGCAGTACCAGAAGGGAATATATCTTTAAAATTATCTGATTCATTTTTATCTACTGCCAAGAAGGGACCAGCCATTAGAACTCAGTCATCCTGCAAAATGCAGATCTCAACACACAGAAATATCACAACTCAGCAACAGCCATAATGATGGAGCATTTTACATGTTATAGTAGTTGTCTGTATTAGTGATGCGATGGGATTACTTTTTACACAAAATTCATTGCTGGTGTTCCCATTACRGTAGCTTTGAATTTCCTCTCAACGTGAGCTACAACAATAATTACTGAAATCTGATCTAGTGTTTTCAATATAGTTTCCATTCATTAGAAAGAAATAAGGTCTAAATAAAGGATACAAAGTTCCCCTATACCTTACAGGAAATGATGGTCAAAGCTCGAGAGGGTAGAGGGAGACAGGAGGCAGGAACTGTTTTCAAATTACTGCTCTTCCCCCAGAAAAGGATTAATTAAAATAAGAATTAAATTAAAATAGGAACAGTCTATCCATAAAATAAAACCTAATGCTTTCCTAACACAAAGACCTCCTCAAACATACATTTATCCTGAATCTAGAAAACACAAGCCAACAGCCTTTCAAATAAAAAAAAAAAAGGTATTAAAAGAACTTTTGTACCTCAAAATCTCAAAACATATTGGTAACACAAGAGATCCATTCACAACCATTTTCCATTTTTAAACTCTTACAACCAATTCACAAGGAGCATGAAAGCCAAGTTTGCATCCCAAAGTACCAAAGTAACTTTTGCATCATGTTATGCAAAAGTGGATCACTAATTAAATTACCATTTTGTACACTGACATTTAATACTACTTTTTTCTTAGTCCGATCAGTTACTCAGCTATCAGATCATGACATCAATTTCGTTTACAAAACCACTCAAAACTGACTTAATATGAACAATGATTAAAAACCTTAACGTAAAAGTGCGACTTCCTTAAAATGAGAAAAAAAATCTTTGTTAGGTTTATTAATAAAATGATTCATTAAGTGATATGAATAGTAAGTTTAAAAAAATGCCAGAGATCCTTAATTRAAACTAAGGAATAAAAGCAGAAATTCATAATCAACAATCCAAASAGAAGTATCCAGAGCACAGGTTATTGTTATCTAGTGTAACAAAAGCATAACATTCATACCTGCACCTGGAATGATTGCCAACTTTGTCTCAACAAGGCCCATTTTAGCAGATGAGGCTGAAAACAGGAATTCAAATATGAGTTCTTAACCATAATCTGTATGAAAAAAGAATTGTGTAACAGCAGAACTACCAATGTGTTAATTTTACATTTGCTTCATTAAATACAAAGGTTCATTTAAAAAACAGTACAAATCTATAAATAAATTCAAATAATCTCGAAAGATCCAACCAGTCATACCATGGCAAGYTGTGCAACTTATTGATTTTCATGTAAGGCAGATGATGCAAGTAAGCTATCATAGTAAATAGCAGGCTTATTTATAGAATGCGAAGTATTTTAAGAAGTTATTATTTTTCAACTTAAAATGTGCAGGGATGTCTGTTTCTGATGATTATGAATTCCTTAGCTGACTGAATATTCCCTCGAGGTCAAACAGCTTTATATACTATGAGTTACTGGCAACTGTTCAGGACTAAGTTTCCATTTATTCCAACAAATGGCTTTACAGTTCTGACAGCTGGATAGGTCAAGGTTTCTCTTTTCATGTGTTGTTGTCAYTTATTTCACAACTGCTTAATTACTTGTTTAATAATAAATTCACAAACAAGTTTGCTCRTGCACTGCAACCTGTTTATGTGAAAACAAGTCCATCTAGGACTCTTCAAACGAAACAACTATTTTAATAATGCATTGAAATATCCAAATATCTACCTAACCCCTCTGGGGATACTTCTAATGATAAAGCGAAGATCGTAAGAGTGAAATAAAACATTTAACAAAAATATTCTCACTATCCCTGATAAGTACTGTGAAATTAAATATCAGTAATTGCCTCAGTCAAGCTTCTCTTAAATCTCCCAGGAGTAATTGGTCCTAAACAACGTAAGAATACAAAATCAGTCTTAAAAGACTGCTGTCAAGACAAAGATTAGTCAAGCCTTCTGCAACACTAATAATCCTTTGTTGAAATAACAGGATCTGGGCTTACCTGCCACTCGTATGTCACAGGCTAAAGCAAGTTCTAGACCACCTCCTAATGCAGTCCCATCTATTGCAGCAATAGTAGGTACTGGGAGATTAGCTGAAAAAGAAAGTACCAGTTAACATTTGCTTCACAAACATCATGTCTAGAAGATATTGTATTATTTTATTCAAAACACTGTAAGACTAGGGGAAAAGTTATCTAAACCAACAGTGCAGATCTTAAAACTCATTGCTCATCATCAAGATGAGAACATTTGAAGAGTCACATACACACTTAGCATTGACCAGCTGAAAGATAGAGGCTTATAATTATTAGCAACTGTGATGATGGCAYAGCTGGAAGCTCTCTGCACGTTAATATTCCCCAGATGTCATGTGGCCAACACCAGGGCCCCTTTCTGCTGTAAAGCTGCAGCTAACAAGYAGCTGAGGGGCCTTGGGAAAGTCTTCAATCATTTTAAAGGCAAAACAAACAAAATAAATGTTGCACAAAGACATGATAGGTGGCACAGTCTCTTGTGGTCTCTATGACCATGACAACTTATCATCCTCCTTACCTGAGAAATTCAGTATGAAGCACTCAACCATAAGTAGCGCTCTTAACTTTTAACAAGTTTAAACTCTTTTCTGCATCACGAACCCAAAGGAATCTGATGAAAAATGCATTTTTCCCCACTAAAAACAAACTCATATTTATAGCTTTAGCTATATTTGATATTACATTTGCTATAAACTATGAGTAATTTTAAACGATACTGAAAAAATAGTCAAGTGGTATATTTTTGCTACTAAAATTTCAAAGACAGCCAAAAGGAATGAACTGTTGGAATTCATTAGCTGAACACTTGGGTGTACAGCTTGTTGAAATGTTCAACCAGCTCTTGACAGCTACATTTTTTTCTGCAGATACTAAGAAAATATTTTCTTCACTTTACTGCTTCAGCTACTTGAATGAACTAGCCATTGAATTCAATCTTAGCTGGAAATGAAAGAGAAATGTGCTGTCAAAATATAAATGAAAAAGAGGTGTGAGAGAGTAAGTTCTACCTTTTTAAAATACAGAAAGATAATACGAACAGAAGAGATTGATTTAAAATAGTAAATACAAATAATTTACTTTTTTAATGAACAAGTTGATTCTAAGTTTAGAATTTGTTCTATTAAKCTTATTCTGTCTCACATACATATTAGATAATTTAATTTTAAATCAACTGAAAGTTAATTTATAACAGCATAAGTAAATTGGTATATGAGTAAGTTGTGCCTTATTGCTTAAGAGCACACCTATCAAGCTAAGTGAATGGCTATTTTTTAGTTGCATATTAACATTCTTTTATGATTAACACCTAATGAGAATCTTCTTCTCTGAATTTTCCTCTCTCTTAAAATTCAAATTTTATTTTGAGTATGGCACGTATAACTTTAAAAACTCCAAGATATACATTAGATCTGATATCTACAAAAGGAGGGAGAGAAAACAAAGTAAAATCTGCTTTTTCTTTCTTAGTGATATGGAAAGACAAAATGAAAAGGCAATTGATTTCCTGGAGGGCCAGATTGCTCACCAAAAACGCTAACTGTCCCTCAGAACCATACAACACTTATGGCACACAGTGCCATATAACCTAGCTTTAGAAGTTTACAGGTGATAAAGTATTTTCTGAAGAGGAACTTCCTCTGTTACCAGTAACTGAAAAAGAAATGAAAAATCACTTGCCTGAACAYGAAGGCATTATCAGCATTAACTGCAGATTTCAGAGATTTCTGGCTACATAGATTTTTCTAATCTTAAGAGACTAGCAAATAATATCCCGAGTACTATTTATGCCATTTTTGCCAGACTCTAAGCCAAACGATACTATAATGAGTAAGTTCTGCTTTTAGCTAAGGTATAATCCAAGTACATGACATGGAGAAATATACTCATGTAGAACAGTGTTATAAAATAGCTTGGTTTCAAGAATTACAACTGCAATTCCTACTTTAAAAAAAATTACTAAAATTCTTAATTCACAGGAAGAGAAAAGAGTAAAACAATGAAACTTCTTTACTCATTTCATCACTTAAAAGATATTCATTTAAAGGGAAACCAGCCTGACACATGAAAGGTGACATGCGGGCAACCCTTTGAAGTATTAAAAATTATTTACAATAGCTTTTTTTCAAGAAAAAAATGAATAGACAGGTCCRTCTCCACAATGAATATAAATGCAAGACTCAATTGCCACAAATGACAGGCAAAAACTGTTCAAAATCTTGTCCAGCTCAACAGTTTTACTCTAAAGCATTCTACAGTTTTGTCATTCTATAGACAGTGGGTGTAAATTCAAGATGAGATTTTGCACAACTGATCATTAGAGCTAGACTCAAAATGTTATGGGTTTATCAGATAAAATCATAAGGTCTGTAAAAGAAATTTGAGATACATTTAAAATATGCACAAAATAATTTAACATAGTGTATGCAGCCCACATACRTTGCGTATATACAGAGGTTAACGTAATGATTTATAACTATCTAAATCAGAGAATGACCACTGAAGTGGTCCTTCTTGTTTCCTAATTTAATTACCTTTTGTACTCTCTGTTAGCAAATGCACTGTACATGTGAACGGAAGGAAGATAAGTTCTCAAGTGGAAAATTTTAAGTTGTAGACTTCTTACACATCAGTGAGCTTTCTATGAAAGCCATCTATTTATGGCATGATGATAGTTTCAAATAATCAATCTGTAGAGACCTGTGCAATTCCCTTCTTCCTTCATATAGGCAGGATACAGAGACATTCACAGCCACAATTAAAGAATGGAAAGTCCAGAAGACCTAGAATTCATAGTTCTGGAAGTAAACACTTGCACAGCTAGTGCAGTAATCTTTCCATGAATCAAGTAAAAGAACTAAAACTAAACTAAACTAAATAAAGGAATCTCATTCAACCCCTATGAGTACACAAGTAACTGTCTGCTATAGACTATCGGAATTGGAATTACTTGCCTTTTATCACAGCAGTCAGAATTTGGGATTTAGCAACACTCAAATGGAAGTCCCACCTCCAAAGTCTTCCTTTTAAAGTATTTGATATGAAATGCCAAACCGAAGACCACACTCATGTCACTCCCCGAGTTACTTCCCTTCTAGCACCTGGACACTGCTGAAAGAGTTCTTACTGTCAATCCCAGTTCTCAACTGGGTCACTTGGCAGCCAGTGCTAAGAAATACCAGTTACTCAGCAGTAAAGCACTACAGCTCTCTCACTGTTTTTAGCTCCTACTGACCCAGACATAAGATTCATAAGCCTGACTTGTCTTTCCTGTAATTTTGAGTATATAGCTAGTGGCCCAAGAGGCAAAATTCTTGTTTTGCAGTACTGACATTAAGAAAGTAGTTCCTGTACTCCTCCCACACACTGGGAGCGTTTCCAACTGAGCTACAAGCAGCAACAGAATTCAGATTTATGTGAAAGCAAAGTTGAATTCCCACAGAATAGAAGGAGAATCAAAATTCAGACAAACACTTCTCTAAACTACTTATCCTACAGCTGCATTTCCGATTATTTGACAAATAATGTTCGTTTAGTACATAACTCATTAGGACAAGCAACTGCAAGTGTCATTTCAAGCAGCTTATTTTTCTTCTTGAATAATAGACCCCATAAAGAAACAAAGATGAACTGTCTAAAAATATCCTGCATACTCTGAGTATTCTATGGTACACTGCAGGAACGCATGCTATAAATTGAGGGATGTATAAAAAGCTCTGCAATTCATTATCTAACCTAAGCAGATGAAGAAACTGTGGCAAATATTTGCATTCTCCTGCCTACAGCACAAAAGAAACCTTTAAATCTTACCTCACTGAAAATAAACTTTCTGATTTGTTTCTCAGTACATCTATTTAAAAGTAATAACGAAATGACACCTTCTAATTAAGGAAACAAATGGGTCACCTGCCCCCAAAATGACTAAACACAACTAAACACCTGTTTGCAAATTGCATAATTGATGGMCTAGCTAATAGGTAAGCAAGAAATGAAAAACATTAGAAGTCACAACATACAGTAAAAGTGTCATAGAAAGAATTATCAATTTTTGAGCTTATTATTTTACTATTTGAAATCAGTATCTTCTAATAATRAATGTTTCTAATGTTTTTCTAATAATACCAAGGTTTTAATATTACTGATGGATTTCAAGTTATGCTGTAATTACTACAAAATGATTTTTTATCTGGTTTTAAAATAGTTGAGTTCATATGTTGAGTTCATGTTCTACAACTCAGTATCACCTTGATTTCTCTCTGAGCTGCTAACTACCCAGACTTTTACCCTGGGGAGCAAGGTCATGACAGGTTTCTAATCTACGCTCTTCCCCCAGAAAACAAAAGTGCACACAACCATTGCATTCGAGTGCAAGTACAGGCAGTTTCCGAGCAGTTAAATAGCTTCAATATTCTTTAAGAAAACTTTGCACTAAAGTGAACTTTCCTGTAAGTTAATTTATTTCATGTGAAGCTAGAAAAAAAGTTTTGAAGTGTTGTAGCACACACAGAGAATACTAAATCTCGATTTTGCCTCTTGGGATATCTTCATAAAGAACAGCAAGTTACTAAGATGGAATACAAACTTTGCACTTAAAAAGGATTGTTGTATTTGGGGCATTTATTTTGCCCTGTAAAATCTGATATAAGCAGTCAGTCAGCATAATAAAACACACTTGGAATTTCAGCTATAAGCACTGCCATCAAAAAAGGACTTTCCATGAATCAACTACTTCAACAAATGCTTTCAACCATTTTGAAACATAACCATAACACAAAGAAATCCACTGGAAGAAAAAATAACTAAGCATGTAACAGCATATGAGACTGACTAAAACACACGAAAAGTAGCTGTCAAATCTCTGAACTTGTAGTCTGAGAAAATTAAGATTTTTTTTTTTCTGGAAGGCAGGAATAAATGTTTTTGTTACAAGTACTACAAAAAGCAATCATACTGGGAGTAACCGTTTTTTCCATAATTCATATATTTATCTTTATTTGAAAAACAGACAGAAATATCTCCTTGCCCAGAAGTATGACCACACTTTTCAGTTACAAACACCT